CACCTTAGGTGTACGTGGCTGGCGCCTTAGCCGGTTGAGCTATAGGCGCCGAGCCAACAATCATTTTTAAAGCAACTTCTTTGTACCAAGAACTATTTTGAGGGGGGAAGTCTAGCTTTCAGCCAGTCAGATTCAGAAAGTCATATTGTTCATATATTCAGAGATGATCAGACTTTTGATGACAGACTACCTGTTATTAACTTTATAATAATTAAAATCACCAAAAATGCTAATTCATTCATTTCCACTGTAATTTAGAATAACTCTAGTTGGCTCTGCCTCTAACATCTGTGCATAAATGAAAGCCCATAGTCAAAGGGAAATCATGCTATATGCACATATGTATAAATTCCATCTTCCTGGCTGGGCATGGTGTCTCTTGCCTGTAATCCTAGCACTCTGGGAGGCCGAGGTAGGCAGGTTGCCTGAGCTCATGAGTTCAAGATCAGCCTGAGCCAGAATGAGACCTCATCTCTAAAAATAGCCAGGTTGTGGTGGGTGTCTATAGTCATAGCTACTTGGGAGGCTGAGGCAAGAGAATCACGTTAGGCCAAGAGTTTGAGGTTGCTGTGAGCTATAATGTCACAACACTCTACCAAAGTTGACAAGTGAGACTCTGTCTCAATAAATAAATAAATAAATTCCATCTCTTGTCTAACTTGACAAACACACCTTGTAAATGACCTAGGAGGCCAAGTGACTTAGAGTTCCTTGCTGGAAAGAAGGGGGACAGAACTCCTTCTCTGTCCCACACCACAGGGTGGAGCCAGGCCAGACACCTAGTTTCTGTTTATATCCTCCTGCTAATGGTCCCTGCTTGACCACCCCTTGTGCCCAGGAACTTGCAACTCTGTAGTAAGGTCACCCCCAAAAGGGAGGCCAAGGAGGCCCTGGGTACAAGCTGAGGACATTAGTGCGGAGAACTCCAGAGTGTTCCAGAAGTGGGGATCTCCAGGCGTGTGCCCTGTCTCCTTGGCCCCATGGACTCTTCATAGGAGGAGAACCAAAGCAAGACCCTTAAAATGAGACCCAAGGCCATGATTCAGGGCACCACCTGCCCACTAGTGAAGTACTGAGAAGGTAAACAGTGCTGCTGGGGAATTTGTGCAAAAGGAGGGTGGAGCCCTACCAGCCCTCCAGCCCTACCAGCCCTGGAGCTGAGGCCCAGTTGACCATCCCTTAGGGTCTAGAATACCCCCTGGCCCAAGGGATACTTTTCACCCAAATTCAGATGTGTATCTCCCATGATGGAGCTGACACAGTTTCCTTTTCCACCAACTCCCTTTCTCTGAAAGTCAGAGGCTGAAAAGGCTCCCTGCTGGCTGGGAGAATACAAGGGCCTCACCACATGGGGCTGCTTCAGCCCAGAGCAGGCACCTTTTTAAAATTCATACAAAGTGCCATAGAGGGTAGCTGGGATCTGTTGCCAACCCACTTCCAACTTTGTGGGGCAAGGCAATTCTAAGAGCTCTGTTGCACCCCTTGTGGTAGACTGCGGAGAAGTTTTTTCTTTCCCTTTTCTTAATTATTATTTTTAATTGATAC